GTGAATGTGAATGTGATAAAATAAATATGACTACTGAAAAAACAGAAATTGACAGAGACAGTTTTGTTGAATGTAAATGTGAGAAAAAATTTTATCCGGAATTGATGGATCCGTTTAATTGATGAATAGCATCGCGATAATTTTTCCATTTTTTCGTAGTAATGGTATGGTACGCGATGGATGCTGATACGAGGAAAAAAACTCAAAATTATTCATTTTTGTTTTTAATCGAGACAAAGTGATTGATTCACTTCTGGAAATTCAATTCTGATGAAATTCACTCGTTATAAGTTGAATTTCATGTCCAACGAGTAACAAACCTCCCAAGTACACTGAGAAAACACAAGTACAGGTGTTTTTTCTCCACAATAGCAAAACCTAATAATGAAATTCAATGGAAAAAGATCCAAGTCGTAGAAAAAGAAAAATGCATTCTTGTGAAAATAACTTATAACGTGATCTTCAAAGCCTCCGGTGTCGATCTGGGTGATCCACGAGACTCGTTTGTGGCAATTGTTAACGACTGGAAGCATCTCAGCGGAATGAACAAAAAGATAAAACAAAGGAGAAATAAAAGAGCGGAACAAAATGAGAGTATGAAGCTCACGCTACTCGGTCTCTCCTTTAAAAGATAAACTTGACAAAATATCTATCTTATTTTTATGAATATTATACCCTAAGGATGTTGGACAGAAGAAAACAACGGCGTTGTATTCTCTCTGGTCTGGTCTATAATCATCGATAATCGCAGAGACCAATCAGCGGTGGAAATATATCTATAACCTGGTTTTTTTTTTCTCTTGAATTTCCGAGAAGATTCAGATGCTCATTTCCTACGGCTAAAAACGTGACACTTTTTACAGTTGAGGAGTAATAACAACTCTCAAAGCAAAAACGGGAATTGTTTACAGTCTAGATGTCTTCTTCATTCACTGGAGGTGCAGAAAATTGCGGAGGAAAAATAAGTGAGAGGAGCGATGAAAGAATTTCAAATGTCCAGTAATAATAATGTATCAAATGACGATGAAATTGATAAGATGACGTCACCAGTTGCTCGAACACTTTCGCTCTCGTGCCTGTGCACGCGCGACTGCGCACAAGATACTGTCTACATGTTTTACTCTTCATCATTATAGTGCACGTGTGTCTGATGTGTCACCTATAAAATCATCCATGCATACTGAACTCTGCTACCATTCTCAATTTATTGAACAAGCAAGAAGAAATTCGTGGGTTGTGAGACAGCATTGCATTGTTGGAAATTTCATTAATAATTGCGTAAACGCGCAGTGCAATATATTGCAGAGGTATTTTCTCACAGAATTACAAATTCCTCAGTCTTGAAAACATTTTGATATTGAGGATAATGCAGAGTTATCATGACCTTACAACCATTGACTGTATTGAAAACAAAGATAACATTATTCAAACAAACTTACTCCTCATTATTGTGCTAATTTGCTTATACATTATTCTGCATCATGTTCCATATCTGAGAATAAAAGAAATTATTAAAGCTGGAGTAGAGAAAGGACATGTTGAAAGAGTAGTGAGGATTTTTAAAAATGTAATTCAGTAGCGAAGCGGTAAACCGGGTTAAGTCGATTTTGACTTTTGGCCAGTTTTTGATTAATATCTCGGAATCTAAGAGAGATAGCAAAATTTTTCTCATAACCTTTTTTATAACCCTCAATTTGCTCTACAAAAACGGTTATGACACAAATTTCTCCATCTCTTTTAGATTCCGAGATATTCGTCAAAAACTGGCCAATAGTCAGAATCGACTTAACTCGGTTTACCACTTCGCTACTGAATTATAAAATTATAAACATTGAATCACGTTTCTCCAGCGTGTAGTAAATTAACGATGAAATTAATTTGATAAATCTCCTATATTTGTACTGAAGATAGTTTACCGTTGAGTTATCATTTGTAGTCTATCCCTCCTGTCTACTTTATATTTAACTAGTTCATAATATTAAACTCGTGGGTGGTTTTGGTATCGATCCCCCAGCATGCTCATCGTATTATCGTAGTTGAAAACCGGTGTGTTCCACTTGCATCTCGCTACGTGGAAGACTCGGTTCGACGATTATATGGGTGACGTATCACGCACAGCCCCGACACACAAGAAACTTTATACATGTGTAATATATATACTGTATTTCCCTTAGCGTTCCTTTTCGTTTCAACTCTCGTTTCACGGTTGAACGCGGCCACTAGCGCAAGTAACACCAGAACGAGTATTTAGAGACGATCAGAAAGTAAAATTAAATGTAAGAATGAGGATTACACTTTTAAAATTTATCTTGAGTGAGTGGATATATTTTTATCGCGAAAATAACTTTTATATCTTCACACGAACAGAGAAAAATCCGAGATAATTGAAGCATTTTAAAGGAATTTCTTTGAATTTCTCTTCAACAAGTGGAAGTAAGGAAATTTCCGAACTAAATCAACATGGATTTTCAAATGAAGCACGAGTGAGAGAGTAACAAAGCAGTCTCCAATTTCTAGTGCAGACCTCACCCCGAAATCATCATCGCATTATAATCCCAACGTAATTCAATATACCAAACTCATGTGTGAGTTGCCCTCACTCCACCAAAGTGTTCAACCGGTTTTCCATTTCAGTTAATGTAACTACACGCCAACTAAAGCCAGACGCAAAATTTGCATTATTTTCTTCAGTGCAATTGTATGTTTCAGCGAGACGAGTTTTGTTTCATTCATTTCCACTTTTTTTTTCGGAATTTTTAAAAATCAACGGGCCAAGGTGACTGATAATTCCAGGAGTCTGGTTTATCCGTGTGGAAAATGATACTCGTGATTTATCGTACCAGCTCTATAACCCAACCGTTAGACTGGTTATACAGGAGCATTTGTGTTATAATAACAAATTAATCCTCGGTTAACCGAGAACAGTCGCACGATAAACGTACGGGCGTGATAAATCCTTGGGTTAAATCGATGAGAGCATGTACTTTTGGTGGATAAAATTCTACGACAATGAAACAATGGGGGGTTTATTTATCAGTAATTCAAAGAATGATTATTGTGACAGGTTTTATCTTGAGTTATGGCTGACTGATATTTATTGCCAATTTTCATGAACTCGAACATTGCATTATTAGTCATTAATAATTCATAATTGTACGGATACACTCGAAATTCTTGGACATTTATCAAATACTCAATATTCATAAATTCAAATGGAGTATAGAGGAGTAAATGCGCAATATGACTGAAATATCTCAAGAAGTATATTCAGTTCAAACATGACCCAAATATGAAAAGACCTCTGTGTGCCCACCGACAAAGAAATTTCATCCCGAGATTTGCAATTTCAATGTTCCAGGTTGAACGTCAGTGGCAAAAAATTGTTGCTAGTTTTCTCATGCAATTTTTTATTTCATCCATTTCCTCTTTTTTCCCTTCTCCATTTCAGTATCACGGTTCATGCATTGTTTATTTGAATTGTAATTTGACGTGAGCAAAACGTGGCTGACCTCATTTCAAAAAACGGTGAATCCCAGAGACTCATTGCATTCTGTGTCTCCGTGGTATAAGGTATAAGGGAACCTCGAATATGTATTACGTAACGGTTTCTTCCCTCTTGGTCACGACAAGAAATAAATGAAAAAAAAACCATGCAATTTAAATCAAATCAATTTTTTCCACTGGGAATAGAACATGGCTAGGGGAAAAAGAACATCTGGCATTAATTTTGCTGAAGCGATAAAACCTTTTAGAAATGTTTAATTTTTTACAATTACTTGAATGTAAATATTAATCAAATGAAAGAGTTATTAAGTTTGCATTTGTGGAGACCATTTGTCCCCTGGAATAATGTTCAACCTCAAACTTTAATGCACTAAAAACACAGTGCATAAATTGTGGAAATATAATGTAGGTTTCCTGCCTAGGTGGAATGCATTTGGGCCACCAACTCAAAATCGCTCAAGTCGTTATAGCCTTGTTATATGCAGCCGTAGCACCATCACTCGTTCCCTTTCCTCGGTCCGTAGCCAACTATTTTGAAGCTGAGATTTTTAGAAATATGGGTCACCATTTGGATGCTTTCCTCGGGAACTCTACTATATAGAAGCTACTCTTGTATGCCTCTTGAATCTCTCCAAAAGTACAAGACGAAACGAAAAGTCCAATGCGATCACTTCTCTACTCATTTCTCTTATTTTTCTTATTTTCTCCATGCACCGATGCTTCTCTTTTCATATCTTCCAATCGTCTGGGTATTTTTCCGTTCGTTAGGCAGGATCAAATCCTTGTCTCTATTCCGATACAAGTAAATACTTTCCTCACTGATGCACTGGACTGGAATTTTCCATCTGTATATTATTTGGCTGTTGAAAGTAGAAAATATCAAGTCATTTTTCATATTTACTCAACAATTATCTTTATAAATATAATGTTGGGAAATTTGAAACATTAGGAATTTCAATCCGAAAATAAACTCAAGACTCTTTTCCCCGACGAATTATGCAAGCAGCTGAAAGATGAGACAAGACAGTTTTATTTTTATATTCAGAGGTTGCTCACCTCTCCAAATTTCTCTCATCGAATCGTCTGAGATAATCATTTATTCAGATTTATTCAGAAAATCCCTCAAATATTTCGCTAACGTGATTTCACTCTTATTCCTCAAGAGTTGGACTGGATCAATGCATTTTTCCACAACGGTGCGATAAAAAGAAATTGATTGATTGTCGCAACCGACCACCGACCACCGGCCACGACGAAATGTAAAAACTCAGCCGTAGAAGGACAGAAAGGGGGCGGAGAGTACGACCGTGCAATTTGCGGTCGCTGTGACTTTTTGATTTACGGTTTCCGGGGCATAGAAACCACTTTGACAAAGTATAATCTCGGGTTTTCATCAATTTTCGACAATTTGTAATGAAGTGGAATGAGTAGATACGGATATTCAGTAGATACGGACTTGTCTAACAAATTCTCCTCTCATTTGTGTTACAGTTGGATGACACTGCGCTTCAACTTTACAAAGATGGCGATTACGGAGCTTACCTAGATCTCGAGGCGTCCATCAGTGAACAGCAGGAGGAGTTCGAGGGCTTTCAGACAAAGTAAGTGAAAACAAATCTAATCTTTCTGCGTTTTTCTCGGAGAGAATAAAAAATGATTATTGATAGTGTTGGCAAGATGACAAGCTGAACTTGCCATGCCACCGCACAGTAGTAGAGAATTCTCGAGGTGGGCGGGATGGGCGATGATGGCTATAGGCACGTAAAAAAGCCATTTGGAATCGCGAGCATCGTCGTCCGTTGGCGTTCAACGCCAGGAGCAAGTGTGTGATGCGTTTTTCCCTATAGCTATCCAACGCTGACAAGATTTTTCTCTCCCCATCATGCACCCTTCGTGAAGAAAGAGGCAGAGGGATGGGGGGGGATGAATTTTCTACGCGCGCTGAATATATGGCCGTTGCATGCAACAATATCGTTTGAGACTTGAGAAAATAGACACCAATATTTCACCTCCATTTTCAGCACTTCATCTCACCATGAAGTTTTTCTTTCTACAAAGTTGATATTTTCCCGCTATCGTTGAATTTATTTATCCGTTGAGTAAAATCAAATGAAGATAATTTTCATTGAGCGGGGAGTACACAAGTGTATCATGTAGTATGTGTGGCGCTTGAAGTAATTAGAGCCCAGGTAAACGCTTGGGGATATGGACGTGCTGAGAGGGAGAGAGAGGGAATCACGCAGTTGAGTTAAATTTACCCAGGCGCGTGTGCACACGATTCACAGATAATTCGAGGTGTATTTTCCATGAGCTACTAGCCGCCGACCAGCAAACATTAAAGTTATACAAAATCAGTGCCACAGTCAAGTCAGCTCGCGTTTCATTGATTTCACTCGCTTTATGTGGATACACAACAGATCCTTGTATTCACAATGGAATTATAAAAGGGGGCATCGTTTTCATGGTGAATAAATGCCAATTTTTATTGACACACACGTGTTTGGATCATTTTTTTTTCCTTCACTTGTCGAGTTTCAGGGAAAATGGAAATCATTTTCTTTTTCACATTCTATTCAATTATCCAATGTATCTATTTATATCTCGATTTAATCGTATACAACGGTAGTCTATATACTTCCATTCGGAGGACACAGGATCGACACATTGTTAATGGTCGTGCCACCGTGTCACTGCAAATGGTGTGATGCGCTAGATTTCCAGTGGGAATTCCTCGCATCACACTGAATATTGAATGAACACGAGGTAATAGGATAGAAAACCACCCATTCTGAACAACGATTTTATCAATTTTTCCAGGAAATGTGGGCCTCATCTTAGCGCCTCGATCTAAAACATTTGAGAATAGATTAAATTCAAGTTCTAATGCCTCTAGGGAATGGAATTAAAATAGTTATCTGACGCCGATTAAAATTCCAGAATTTCATTCAAACAAGTGTCTGGGGCTCTTATCTCATGCTTTAATATCCAATATCGTCAGACACATTCCATTTTAATTACCAAGCATGCTCGTGTGTTCATAACGGTGTGTTTGAGGCTCTTCTCAGGGGTTCAACAACCACGAACAATGAATAACACAATGGATACGAGAGAAATTGACGGTTTTCTTCCAACTTAGCACTATTCCCACATATTTAATTATCAAACAAATATTTTCATTTGATCTTCATTGCAATTTCCACCGCGAAAAAAGTCTAGTACAAACAGCCTTATTAGATAGCTGAAATTCCGAAATTAATTTCGTAGGGATAATTTTTGATAGCATGACATTTGACACAAGCCACGATAATAATCCATCCGTTGAGTGGAACTTTTTTTTTTAACCAAGTTTTTTTATTCAATATAATAGTCAATATTTACATCATGTACAAACCTTAAAAACTAGTATAGAAAAAACAGTTCTATGATCAGTATTTTTTTACTAATTGTGTAAACTTTGGTCTGGTGAGACTCTCGAGTTTATAATTATTTGGAAATTAATCGTAAGGTAAATGCAGAATCTTTCTCTTTGAAATTTATGCGTTGTTTTTTGTATTTGATATTTTTTAAATTTAAGTGCTTAAAAAAGGAACATTTGTTTGCTGTTGTAGAAAAAAAAAGCACGACAATATTTGCGAAAAGTAGATTAGAGAAATATTGTAATTTTATTTAAATTACCTACAGTGAATCATTAAAAGTATTTATGAATCACAGAATCCGATTTTTTTAAATTTTTATTTTAATACTTATGATCTGACATTGTTTGTATATTTAGTTTTTTATTTTGTTAAGTAAAACAATCATATTATTTGGGTTTTTTGTCGAATTAGAATTTTTTAATATTTTATATTAGAATTCAAAATTCTAAGGAGGTCTAAAGTTGTGCCTATGATATCGATTTTGTTGTTTATTTTTATTCATCTGTTTGAATAATTCTTCTCGAATTTTCAATTGTCTCATGTATTTATCGTCATCGTTCAGCCACCAGAATTTTTTTCTGACTATCATGAAGTCGTCGATATCGTATCTTGCGACATCTCTCGAATACAAGAATTCTTTTGATTCAAAATCATCTATGGGGATTTTGTTGTTGTTTTTATGTCTGCTGATGTGATACAGGATCGGTTTATTCGATTCATCTTGGAATAAACCGATCTTATCAACCGTTGACTGGTACCAGCTGTGCCTGATGGTTCATTCCCTTAAATCTCTCCAGCACCACTTCTCCATTGACTTTTGTCCCTCAATTTTTTACTTCACCCTGGAAGCAACCAAGTATCACGGAAATGCAAAGTAAAATAGCACCGAGATGAAGGGACCCCCAACAGTTATTTGAAAATTTTTATAATAAAAAGATCAAAGAGCTCAATTACCATTTATCGCGATAGCCGGATGTCGGATCGGACGTTAATGATCTGACGATCGAAATCACCCAGCAGACGTCTCTCTCTCTTTCAATTTTTTTTCCTCTCCATTTTCTGCTTTTTGATATTCTTTTTTTTCTTTCTTTCAATCCACCGAGTCTTTCATCTGCCATCATCGCCCGCTCATCAAGCGGTTAAAAAAGCCACTGGCAAGGTCGTCGGGTTTTTGTTCAATGGTGGATAATTAATAAATGCCAGGTTTACATCGTTGAAGAGCCCACAAAGGGCGAAAAGTCGTGACAAAAAAAAAGTTAACCGATATATTAGCCGAGGCAAAGTTGCCCCGTGTATCACTTTTTACTCGACGGGGTTTTTTGTTATTAGCTAGTACTTGTATCAATTTTTATTGTGCAGTTAAAGGAGATGTTGATAGATTTTCTATTCATCTTTTCTCATCCATTTTTCGCGAGTAAAATTGCCAATTTTCCATCGTCAGAGTTGACATATTCAAATGGAGAGAGGGAGGGAAAGAAGTTGGATAAAAAATTGGAATTTAAGAAAAAGCTTTTGGACGGCGGCAGAAAAGGGGATGACCTGGTGGACTCGCCCACCTCAAGATAAATCGTTTTCGAGTCGTGTCGCCTCGATCCCATTCACCAGATATCGATTGTCCTTAAGAAACGAGGTAGCTCCTCGATCCCTAAATTTTTTCTCTCAGTTCTCCTTTTTGTTTTTTTTCTTCTTTTTATCGCCAGGAGAAGGGGTCAGGGATTTTCCGGCTTAGCCAGTGCAGCACCTCCCTTGGCCTCGGGCTTACCCTCGATGTCTCGTAATAAATGGTGTAACTCTCGTCCCACAAAATTTATTCTATGGTACATTATTGTTGACTCTATTTTATAAATAAATAGAAGCTGTTTTTGTGGGCTGTAGTGGTCACGCGGGGAGTGTGTGGCTCCGGCGGTCATCCAAGCTAAGCAGCGTTCAGTCTGCCCAGTACTTGGATGGGTGTCCGCTTAGGCACACCTAACCGCGTGAGACTACAGTTGCTAGGCACGAATGTAGAGAACCTACATTCCTAGTTGAGTCAGTGTGACCAATGGACACAGTGGAATCCCTGCATTATCGGCCGGCTGTACGACTGGGGTTTTCCATGGTTTCCCTTGCAGTCCTAGCCCGAATGGGGTACAGTTAAGAGTAAGACGGCCCATGGTAACGCAGAAAAAAATCAGAAGAGAAAAAGTGGGAGAGGCAAGGCAGACGAATGGGGAGCCTATAAAACCGTAATGGTAGTAGGAAAGAAATATGAATAAAAAATAGTAGCTGTTTTTGAGAATTTATTCCAGTGATTTTCCACTGAAATGCATTGAGTACCGAGGGAGAGAAAGAGAATATTTTCAAAGTAGCATATTAAGTTTCCTGCACCTGTGATACTCATTTTACGTTTGAATTGAGAGCCAGAAGCTCGGCTAAATGGGGTAATCCTATTATTAGAGAATTCTCAAGCGTATGCAAAAGTGAGCCACACACAGGTACACATGAACTCGTATTTTTGAATTACAGCATCATTTCAGCGCAAACAGAGCTCTTTCCAGACAAGGTCGGTTAGAGGTATGCATTTAGGTGTCGATTATTCTTGGTGTTATTGCAGGAGAAAAAAAAAATAACTGTTGAAATTGAAAGGAAAGAAAGTAGTTATGATAATTCCAATGCAATTTCATAATAGAATGGAAATATCTGGGGAATTATGAGTAGAGGGCTTGTGGAAATTGTTTCACGCAATAGCTGGGGAAATTCTCTACTACGAATGATACTTGAAAACCTATTTTCCTCTAATGTTCCCTCAGAGAAATTATGTTTCGAAAATTGCGTATTTTTATGAGACTAGCATTTTATTAGCCCTGTTTCCCTTGAAATTTCTGGCAATGAACATTTTATACTCGAGCATGCATCATAAAACGCTGAGAAAACATGTCACGTCACGTGTGCAAATGGATGACTTACAAAAATGATAAGATTCTTCACTTTTTTTTCTTTTTCTCTGAAACATTCTTAGGTTCACAACGGCATCGTTCATCTCCGGTTCTCACAGTCGTTATCGAAAATAATTATTTTTAACTTATGAAATGTATTCAATTAAAGTCAATTGGAGTAATTTCGCTCCTCGTAGAAACACTAGGTATGTGCGAGAGGGATATTTGAGGGCGTTGAGAGAGTTTTTACTGCCATGTTGTAAGCAGTCT